AACAGATGAAACTTTTGAGTAAAACTTGGCCATATGCCTGTTCTACATATTTCATCATTTAAGCACACTGAAGCCACCTTCAGAGAAAAGCTCCCAACCACCTTTACTTGCAGACAACTTTCATTCCGACCCAGATGAAGATCAGTTCAGTAAAAAACAGGGCACTAATCATCCCCCAATACCTGTGCAGCCTGGCATGCGTGTATTGCAAAAAGACACCAGTATCGCCTTTGCTTTGAAGAACATGATCCCAGTTAAACTGATAATCAGATGATAAGAGGCCTTTGAAGTCCTGAAATGACAAATTATTAAGAACTGAGTAGATATTTTTCAGCATCCCTGTAACTGATCTTGCAATTAATTGGATGACAGACCTGAATGATAAGTGCTGCGAGCCCAATCCGTTCTGCAGTCTCAGGAGGATTGTCACATTCTTTCGTGGCTGATCAGATAAAAGTAGAGTAAACCATTAACTCACCAACAGGTGCACAATGCTCCTGACAGAAGCTGATTCTCAAACCCTTCTTTATAAAATGGTATAGTTAGTTTTAGGAGCTAGTAGGAACATAATCTTCCTCATATCTTGACCATGGTTAACAAAATCAGGAAAACATACATACATACATACATATATAATTTCATCATTTATTTATTAGATTTGTATCCCACTGCAATTAAAAAAAAAACCCCTTGGAAGTTCAGCTTCTTTTTAGACTTCTAAAATAAAGTAGCTTCAGCAATTATTAAATAACATTATTTTCCAAAACATGGACTGCAGAAGCCTTCTAAATAGTTCACATGAAGCTTCCAATATTACTTCAATCCTATACTGTATATCATTATCCATGAAAATTAATGGAGCTTACTTTTAAGGCTTGTGCAATTAGGTTCATGTTTAATATTATTTAGAGAAATAATTGATAAAATAGAGGTAATTGTATTAGAGAATTGAAATATCCAAGCAACGTCAGATATTAAAGCTGCAACTGACAGATACAGTAGAGAGAAAAAGAAAAGGAAAAGCATCAAGATAGTAATTAAAGTATCTTCCATTAGTAAATAAATAAAGATGAACTGAAAAAAGAATCAAACAAATCTTGGACAAGGATATAATTTCACTGACTGACAGAATGCCTTCACAGTGGAATGAAAAAAAAATCCAAATGTCTTTATTTCAAACGGCTGAATTATTTTCTCAATTACTTAAACACATTTTATTACTATTTTTTTAAAGGCTGAAACATAGGTTACAGACAAAGAGGTCCATATATGGAAAGCAAAAGGGGCTGAACTAATTTTGACTTAGACTGTGCTATAGAGTGGTGAAACACACAGTATACCTGTAGCCTTCTTCTAGAACCAGAATAAAATGTTAATTTAATAGAGAAATTTATCAGCTAACTTTTTGTAGAAGCACGTCTTTCTAACACCATGGAACAAGTTTCATTTAAAACATCTTCCAGGAAAATCACTTCTCCTTTTCGAGTTTTCATGCCTTGAATTCTCCCAAAGGGCACATGCTGGCACCTATAAACAGAGAGGACAAAAACATCAGTCATGCTTATCCTCAACAACTTCTGTCAACTGATGGGTCAATAACAGAAAGTTATGTGTCTAATACACAACATAGATAAAAGTGACATTTTTTCAGCTGTAGAAACTAGAATATATTCTTTAATAAGAATGGTATTTGCATACTTTTAGAATTACACCTGATCTCAGAAAAATGTTACTTCCACCCACAGAAACTCTGGGTTACTTTGGGCTAGTCCCTCCTCTCAGTCGAACCTACTTCACAAGGGTTGTTGTAGTGAGGGAAATGGGGAGGAAATGCTGTAGATGCTGCTTTGAGCTCCTAAATGAAAGATGTAATATAAATCTAATAAATAAATAAATAAATAAATAAATAAATAAATAAGACTACTAAAATAAGTATGAGGTGCTCTACACTTATACACAGGTAGTCCCCAGTTTAAGAATGAGTTCTGTTCCAAGGTCTGTCCTTAAGTTGAATTTGTATGTAAGCTGGAAGAGTATTATTGTATAATACTAAGTAGTATTGTGTAATTAACTTGAACCATTGTGCATGTAACTCGAATAACTGTGCATTTAACTCAAATTTTGCTACAACAGGCTCCATTCTTAACTATGGGTCATCTGTAAACTGGGCGTTCTTAACCCAGGGACTACCTGCATTATCCATTCTTGAGAACAGTTTCTCATATTCCACCTTTATGCATGTAGGAGTAGAGGCTTGCTTTACTGGTTTCAGACTTTATTAACTCCAAAATAGGATTAGATACCTGATATACCTACACGTATACATTACATAGGCACACTTTCTTTCATCATCCATGTTATAGTTCTAATATGAACTATATATATTTTTTTTAAAAGAAAGACCTATGATCTCATTAACTATATAGGAAAGTTTGACATGGCAACAATGTGCTTTATAACATAGAAGACAAAAAGAATACATACACACAAATATATATATATATATATTTGGGTTGATTATTATCAACTTTATTTTTATTTTCATCTTAGAAGCTTACAATACCATGCTAACCTAAATCGCTTCAAGCAACTTCATATTTGCCTAGCCACCAATCGATCACTCTCCAATGTGGTAATTTAGATTGGAAAGGATTAACTTCACCTTCTCTTATTTGCTGTTACTGGTTCAATTCAGAGCCTTCTTTGGCTCTTAAGTATAAAATGTGAATCTCCCAGTGTTCTCTCACAGATTCGTACCTTCAATATTGAATGAGAATTTTAATGAAGAGGTTGCTGCTGAAACATTCTACAGGCAACCTCCAACAAGAAACAGAACAAATGGCATTTCCCAGCCTTACTCTGGCATAAAGGCTGATTCCAGTGCAAATGCTGGAATTTTAATTGCATGAATATTCTAATTTCATATGGGAGTTTAAGGATCCACAAATGAGTTTTCCCCTTACAACAACAACCTCTGAGGTAGGCTGAATTGAAAGGTGCTCACTGGCCCACTAAGCTCCACCACGGATGAGATTTGAACCTGGGTCGCCCTTGCTTCAGTCTAACATCTTAACCACTACACTGTACTTGCTTAAAATTAATTGTTTTTTAACCTTTCATTTATTTCCAGAGTGGTCTTTGGCCATCCATATTCTGCCCATCTAAAGATTTAGAACACTTGATTTGTCACATTTTCCTCTTTTGATGATAGAAATATCATTATTCAGTTTGGTTTGGTTTGTTTTCTTAATAAAATTCTTGACATACATTTACCTTTCTGCCCAATTGAAACCAAGTAATTTCAATATCTGGAACATCTGTTGAAAATGAGAGCTCTGACTTTTATCTGTCTTGGAAGAGAGGGAAACAAGATTTAGCCATTTAATACATAACAGTCAAATGCAAAACAGCATTGACACAGTTCATATCCAAGGGAAAGAATAATACCATGAAAAGTGGATTCATCTTGTGTGAGTTCTCTTCTGAAAGTTACCCTTGGAAAAGTTCTGATATTCAAGTCATAACTGGGGTAATAGAGAGCTTGAAATACTACCTATATCCATAGAAGTCTCAAAAAAACTTGATTTTAGAATTCTGAAAGGTACTAATTTTCTGTTTGGTGCATAGATCCTATTAAAAGAATACCAATGATTATATTATAAAAAGAAAAATTGGAATATCAGTTGTTAAAAATTGGTGTAGACTGGCAGCCACCAGACCATGGGTTAATAAAATGACAAATGTACAATGGCACAAGCATCTAAAGAAAGGATCAGATGCTTCATCTGGGTATAAAGGGTATAAAAATGCAAGAAATGGCATCAAATTCCTGAGACATACACCTAACAAACAAAAACAGGAATATTGAGTTGCTAATGTAAAAGTGGGGGGTTGTAATGAATTATGCTATGTGTGTTAATTTAATGAAACCAAGACCTTTGTGTTATCATGAATAGCCGCTTTTGTTAATAATGATCACTGGCTGATTCAGGATCATTTACTTATCTAGGGTTTGCTAACTAAGCACAATCGACTGGGTTTACACAACTGATTGATTGCACTATGGCACAAACCTCATTTATAGTCCATGGTAAGTTTCAGAACCTCCAATGATGGTTTGAAAGTTTTAGAATCTAAAATTCTAAATGATATCTTTGAATGGGGACACTGTATGACATCTAGGAGGAGGCATTTAAAAATAATAAGCTATATATAATAATTCTGCTACACTGTTCAGCACTGCAAATCAGCAGTGATAAAAGAAACAAGGGTTCTACTGGAATGGGACACTTTGCAAATAAGGGTGGTGAGCAAAACCTTCTCCTTCCAGTTTGGACGGCTACCTGGCTGGTATATTTTGGCCATCCTGTGAGCAGGAAAAACGATATCAAATAAGACTAGGGCAAGATGTTTTGTTATGGGGTTATTATCAAGAGCCACTAGCCCAGATCTCCTCATTTTCCCTTCCCTGTAAAAGTGAAAAGATCTTTCCCCATTCAGCTGACCTCCAGGTCTGTTGGATTACAGACCTCCAAATTCTCAACAAAAATGGAGATTACTGTCCAACACAACTAGAGGACACTTGGTTGGGAAAGGCTAGTTTTGTCAAACAAGACATGTGATACAATGCCACTGAATTGCAGGTTTCCCCAGACTACCAGCAGTACCTAATCAAGCCTAGAGAAGCTGGGAGTGATCAGCATGTCACTGTTTTGTAAGAAAACACTTATCTTTTGAAATGGTTAGCTCAAGTCTAATAAAAATTCGTGGAATGTTTGGATGCTGGCATAAGGTACATTAACATCTTCATCCTCTACCAAATCAGTTTACATAAAACATAGAATACCTACGATGTATAACATAATGTCAGGCTTGTATTTTTCCATTCTGTCTATAGCAGCAGCAAGATCTCTGGAAATGAAATATGAAAAATAAATAACATTCTCCAAAGAAATATTCATTTTATTTAAAAAAAAAACCTGTATGCTGCCCTTCAAAATCATGAGCAATCTGTCTACCAGCAATATTCTATTACATATATCAACAGTGTTAAAATAATGTGCAGTTTACTGATAAACAGTCACACAACATGCTTGCCTTGTTAGGTAAAGCGAAGTTCCATCACTACGCATTACAGCAACTTGGTCTCCGTTTTCAGAAAGACAAACTTTTCCTACTCCTTCTCTGAAAATGATGAAAAAAGGCACTGAACAATCTACCTGCAGCAAGGAATTATACATTGATTTTCTTAATATCCACTTCCATAGCCAAATAAATAAATAAATTGTGTTTCAGTACTTCAGGAATTAAGATTATAAGGATATTGCAAGAAAAAATAAAAATGCTTTAAAGTTGTGGTTTAAAGTTACATGGGAAATCATCTTTGTATTTTCAGCAAGAAAAGGCAACTGTAAGCCCTGAAAAAAGCTTAACATGTTTTTTAAAAGTGCCCCAAAAGAACAAAACTAAAATCACAATCCCATGTGTGTATGACAACCCCGATTTACCTACTGCAGTCATTGTTCAACTAGACAGTATTAAATGCAGCCCCTGGCCATCAAAAGGTTTCACACCCATTTCATTACGATGTACAAAAGATTAGCCCTCCTCCAATGCTGCTGGGATAATAAATTGTAGTTTGACATTTTCCCCCCAACTTCTTACTTGTTATTACATGCAAAATAGGTACTGTGATTAAAATAAATGTGAGCTGGGTCAGCAAATCAAAAATTGATAGTTTGATGTTAGCTTCTTCAGCAGTTAATCAGAAATGACTTTAAATCACAATACCTGACCTAAAACATAACAAAAATATGGATCTTGGAGAAATAACAGTCCTTTACAAATTACAATGGCACAGGAGGAAAGGGAAGAAGGAACAACTGAACCCAAGATCTTACTCAGTTCACATACTGTATACCCTAACTGTACTAACTGTGTACATGTACTCCTAAGTGTGTTCCAGAATCTTTCAGACTGGGTTGGGATTAAAAATCCCAGGATTCAGAAAGAGCACTGCCAATGATAATGCTGGCTAAGAACAATGAAAGCTTTAGCTCCATAGATCTGGAGACATCTAGTTAGGGCAGATTGTCCTAAATCTTTAGCATTATACGTGAAGAACACCACAGACCAAATAGTCAAAGATGGTACTAATGAGTTTTCTTCTGTCCTATGTGATTTGCCAGATGGAAGCAAAGGTAGATATGGAAGCGTGAGAAGTCGGCAGTTTACTGTTTACTTCATGCCTGCAAGTCTTGTAAAAGTTTCAGATTCCCTTTCTCACACTAAGGCTGATATGCTGCCCGCCCCCCAATAAAGTTTCCCTGACTCTTTACGTGCATGTCAGTATTCACAAAGTTACCTTAGTTATTCAAATCATCTTGGCAAAACAAATATTAAAAAAAGGTCAGATAAATGGAAGTATTGGCTAGCTTTAAAGATACATTAAGATGAATGATCAGGCATTTCAGAAAACTGGAAATAAAGAATCCATTCATACATTTTCTTAAGAAGTCCTTTTGCATTCAACCTCTTTAGAACGTCCTGACTTTTCTCTCGATAAAATGATTCTCCAGAATATTCATTAAAGTAGATTCCCAGACGCTGGATAACCCATCAAGAAAAGAGGAAAATAATTACAATCAGCAAGAATTATCTCATCTATCTATGAGACCACCCTTTTCCAACAAAAGACTATAACTCCTAGAATTCCCACTCAGCACAGTCATGTAATCTCTGCACATCTAATAGTTTCCAGATTGAAGAATTTCAAGGAACCAAGCCAAAATAGACTGAGCGAATGAAAATGGAGCTATATAAAAAAAAAAGATATTGAAAAAAGAAAAAATCTTAAGTAAATCAGTCATGTAGGAATGTTGTGATAATTTGTCCAATTAAATTGCTGGCATTAACAAGCTAATTAATTATGCAAAAGGTTTTTTTTATATTCAATTATTCTCTACAGATATTCCATTAAATCAGTGAGACTCCACATGTGAATTATTATGTGAGACAAAATACAAAAAAAAAACAATGCACCAGAACATTATATCATTCCCAATGCCATGTACCCATCCATCTCGTCTATATCTTTACATTTGTTTCATCTATCCTTGCTCATATAAGAATGAACTATTAACTATAACTCATCACGAATATTTTAAGTCAGATTTTATAGTACAATTTATTTCTATATTCTTAATTATTGCACTACATATTTAACAAACTTTACTTATAATTAATTATATATATATATATTTCCCTTTCTTAGCTAATTTTAACTTTTAGTTTTAATTTCAGTCTTAACAGAGGGCAATGCTGCATTATTTTATTTATGTTTAAGTATGTTATATCTCCATGGCTAGATTTTATTATATGTTGCTCTAAGCTGGTCACTGATTAAAATAAAGCTCTCTCTTTCTGAATCATATTGTGGCCTGCTACTTTACAATGCAAAAATCAGGCAACTCTAAGGGTGTACATTTTTCAGAAATGCAAAGATACTCAAGCATCACTATACTCAGAATGGGATAATTTCTAAATACTGAAAGGAAAGGTTCAAGTCAGCACCTTATACACCCGAGCATATTCTTCAATGCTAACATCTCTAAAATGCTGCCACAGTGACACTGCCTCTTCTTCCTGTGCTTCCAATTTTCTAAAGAAATCTTGTGCCAGAGTTTTAATATTTTCATCCTCTTCTGAAGCTTTGTTGACCTGTACATAGACCTATATAAAATCAATGAAAAATACAGGACCGTTCAATCTGAAGGACTTCTCCATCAAGAAAAGATTACAGCCCGTGGCAAAGCATTTACTTTGTATTCAAGACACTCCAATATCCTGTAATCTTCAGCACAATTGCAAGGATCGCAGGTAGCCCAGCAAGGAAAGACAGCTAGCCCAGTATACCGGAGCTGATAACCCCCTCCAGATAATGGCAGACTCCCATCCATATTCCTCTGTTGCTAGCCATGCTGATTGGGACTGATAGGTATTAAAGTCCAGGAATATTTGGCTATTTACTGTAACTTTTCCCCACATCATCTTCCTAATAAATGTCACTTCTTTAAAGAAACAAAAAACAAAAAAGAGACTTGTTTCTGTTTAGCCCACAGGGGAAAACTTAACAGATAGCAGCTCTAGGAACATAAAAAGCTGCTGTATAGCAGGCCAGCTTATTTGTTTGGCCACTGCTGTCTGTCCTGACTGCTGATAGTTCTCCAGGTCTCAGATGTCTGTCCCTGCTACCTTCTCATTCTTTTTAGCTAGATATGCCAGGGAGTGAACTTGAGACCGTCTGCATACAAAACATTTTTTATACATTTTAAGGAATTATTTTTGTTCCAGAGGTCTGGCCATACAAACAGAAAAGCAAAATAAAAAACATTAAAAAGAAAGAATTGGGGGGTTGATATTATGGCCATTCACATTATACATTCTAACTTTAATAAAATTCTTTCAAAGAATTCAACTATACTTAGATACCTCAAAAAGATGCTGCAAAGGATTAGATTTTAGCTTTTCTTCAGAGCCAAACCATTGGAAGCCAGCTCCCAACAGACCTGAAAAAAAAATTGTTTTACAGCTAACAGCTAAAATTATTTCACAGAGTTGTTATAAGATAGGAGAATAACTTGCCCTTCTTCTATTTTCAGCAATAAAAAACTGGATAGTAAAATTTTTTAAATTTATAAAGTAATTTTCAAGACTATAATAACAAAAAACACATTGGTGGATGCTATAAATTTTGATACCCATAGAACAAAGCGCTGACTTCAAGGATATTGATCAAGTGGCATGTGAGTTCTATAAAAGGACATAAACTGTGCACTTAGATGCTGAATTAGGATTTGCATTGGGCTTAGGCAAGGATGTGCTTAAAACCAGGAAAATTTGTCTTAAACTGCATAACCTCATACCTAAAGATAGACTTTTATACCATGACATAATACTGTGGCAACAGAGTATAGAGTATGAGAAGAACGTAACACGCTAGAAGGAATGAAGAAGCAAAAAGAGGTTAAAATGGAGGAAATAACCAAGAGGAAATTAAGTTGCTAAAAACAGGAGTATTCCTAAAGTTATGCAGAAGCCCCTTTCATGTGTTTTCTACACAAAGAGGGCCCAATTCAGCTTATCCCTAGATGCTTTTTTTTAATTTATTGATCAGGAAGTGATTCTAGCTGGTTTACAGAATAGGATTAATGCATAAAATTAAAAAAACAAACAAACTATACAGTAAATACATCCCACACATTGGAAAAGGGTAACTAAACAAATATACACCCCACCAACCACCATGTTTGGACCATCTCCTCCATATTATATTTTTGAAGATCCATGAAAACATGGCCCTTCCTGGAGGCATTTGAGGATCCTTGAAGAACTCATGGAGAATACCACAGTAGCATATCAGGGGCCTCTTGTTGTCATGCTATTGATTTTAAAAATATATTTTAATTTTATGTTTATTATTTGTCAGTCACTCCAAGTTTTCAAAAAGGGAAGACATATATCTGAAGAAACAAACAAACAAACAAACAAAATATATTGGAGATGCAGAGCTCCCTGATGCTGAGGAGTCCTGGCATCTGCAAATTAGAAATGGAAGTGTGCACTGTGAAAATGACCATTTAGAGACGTTTATGAATCTGGCTTACACAGTCTTGAACTCTGTGTGTCATGTAGGGATTCACAATACAGATATTCCTATTCAGTGTGTACAGGATGAAGGGGAGCAGGGACAGGGAGCTGTGTCATATCAGAGCCTGGGACTACTCTGCCGTGAATAGTGGAACCCCCTTTGTGTTAATAATGTGAAAAGGGCCACTGAGGCAGCTAACACAACCTACTGTTTGGATGTCATTGTTTTGATATTGATCAGATTACTCTAAGATTAAACTAGGGATACTGAGTCTACCTCAGCTATGGGTAATATTAAATCTTTTGCTTTGTGCTCTGGCTTAGTTCCATTAGCAAACAGTAATCTCTGCTACTTTGCAGGGGAGTTAAAGGAGAATAATTTACTACATGAACCACAGTTTGTTTATATATTTTGAGTTTTAAAGAATCTCTACAGTTACCTATTCATTTAATTTCTTTAGCTCTCTCTCCCATCCCTACACTATTTCTCTCTCTTTTTTCCTCTTCTTTTTCATTTAATTTTATTGTGGATTCTTGGATTAAAAGACAATTTATTCTTACATACAGATTTCCTGGATTAATTGCTTGTGCTCCAAAAGAAGACACACTGGGAGTTAAGTGTGCAGGTAAAAACTAAAATACAATTATTAAACTCAGATACTATTATCTGATCTCTGCCTGTGAGGAAACAATGCAACATAGGAATCAATAAAGATAGGATAAAACTTATTCAGAATAACAATTGCAGAAAAACAAGAGCTTTGTGCTAAGAGATTGCTTGCTTATCAGATTTCAGAAGGACACAATTTAAAGCCATCCACTTGCAATAATAGAAATAGTGGCAGATCATTAATTGTAGCAACGTATCTGGGATTTTTACCATTTGAAAAAATCTGAAATTTTGGTCTTTTGAGCCATGATCAGGTTTTCACAAAACATGTCAACTCAAAGAAGACTGAAACAAACATCAGGAGTTTCTCACATGGGAGCAAAAGGTTATTTTCTTCAACTGAAACAACACATTTTTTCACAGAGCATTAGGATCTCTCTACAAATATGAAACACAATCCCAGAAGAGCCCTGCAAACATAGGAAGGCATTGCATTTGGTTCCTCCTCTTTTAGAATGAAAAGAACACAGCCATTCTGGAATTCATTGCCGAAGAATTAAAAAAAAAGTTTCTCCCATGCACATGCCTACTTTTTTTTAGTATAATCAAATGGTTACAATACAGGCTGGATGGTTCAATACAGAAATGCTGTTTTATGCGTTTCTAGGATTAAGATCAGTGTTTTTATCTTTAAAGAGCAGATCAATTATCTTAAAGAGCAGAGCAATTTACAAATTGCATGTATCAGTACTCTCAATTTAAAGAATGACCTACTTTGGATTGCCATACTCATTTCTTGGTCTGCTTTGGATTGCCATACTCATTTCTACAATAAAACTGAAAGCCTTTTTTGTTTTTAAAAGGCTCATTATGACAAAGTTGAAAATAACGAGGCCTAGATTATGTTACACTAACTATAAGACAGAATTAAAAAAAAAAATATTTACCAAACTGCATGCCCCAATCTCCAAGATAATTTATTCTTGTCACATGATGTCCAATCGCTTCATTGATATTTGCTATGAAATTCCCTGAAAATAAATCACAGTAATTATTTGTCTCAGCTGTACTCTTATCCTCAAATGCTCATTTTATGTAACCTGATCTCCCTTTTCTACCACTGTACAGGTAGTTCTCAGGTAACAACCACTCGTTTAGAGACTGTTTGAAGTTAAGACCACCACATGAGTGCTGGTTATGACTGGTTCTCAGTTTTTCAGGCAGTAAAAAGAGATGGCAGGAGATTTGCACTTTCAGATTTGCAAGATTCTGTTAATGTAGCCTTACAATAAAGTAGAATTAGTTCATCTTGTCGTATTTCTTGTCTGGTCTACTTGGGAGGCTGACATAAATTTTGCAAGTCTGAAAGTACAAATCTCCCACCATCTCTTTTTACTGCCTGAAAGTTAGGGCAGATCCTTTCTATATTTCTTTTTTCTGCCCATTACTCAGTTGTGGGCTCCTCCCCCTTTTGTCTGATCATTCCCTAGGCAGCCTCTCTTCCCCCTGTCTTCCAAGGTCATTCTCACATTCCATCACACTAGCTGAACCAAAACACTGAGTTTCTCCCTTTGCAGCAATACTTTTAAGCTAAATATTACTGACATTTTAGTTTGACCCATTTGGATCTTGACTCTGGGTTCAAGTTCTCCTTAACTATGGACAAAATGATATATCATACAGTTGCAACTTGACCTGTGAAGGTGGCTTTCTAATATTGGGAGGAATTATATTTCATCATGTTTCTTGCACAAAAAAGGGATTCTACATCATGGTTTAAGAGGACTAATCGGGAAAAAACAAAGAAAGAAAGACTGTCAACTATCTAATGGTAGGGATGTTTGTACATCAAAATAAATGGCTTCATTACTGGATTTGGATAGCCATCTCCTTGGAATTCTTCCCACTGGAATTAAGTCTAAAATGTAACAGAAGTACAGGATCCACTTCCCTGTACTTGTTCTTATTATTTTCAGAATCAAATTATTAATTTATCAGTAACTACCTTTAACAAGAAAGATCCATCACCCTACATTTTTTTAAAGTAATAAATTCAAGGGAACAGGAAATCAGAGGAAGAAAATTTCCAGGCTTGAGAAATACTAATTACTCCTACAGGCTATAGTTTTCAATAGCTCTTATTTATTCTATCTAGAAATGCCACAAGCTGATTCTGGGTCTTTCTGCAAGGTCTATACTTTTGAGCTCACCTGAAGTTCTTAGATGTAAAATATTTCAGCTTCACTGTTTCAACAATTTTGTTAAAACTAGCTGATTGTTTTTTTCTTATTCCTGAAGTCATTTTTAAGATTTTGTTTGGTTCTATTTCAGTCTGGTCTTCTTTCGAGAAACTTTCAAAATGTACACAAGTAGTTCCCAGCCCAAAGCTTATCATGTAGCTTAAGACTAAACATCGACACATGGGAGAAGCACCCATTAACTCACAGGCTAGTTACAAGTACTGTCTCTTAGACTGTATCACATTCAGAAGATTCCCTCATTTTTAGACTGCAATTCAGTTATATCTCACCTATTAATGTAGAACGTAAGTGACCAACATGAAACTTCTTTGCAATGTTGGGTGAACTGCAAGAAATGTAAACATTAATCATTTAGGCTCCCCTTCCCCACCTTCCAAAAAAGGAGTAGAGATGTCAAACCACACTTTATCTCTAAATAAAGGAGTTTCTGCATTTAGCTCATACAATGAAAAATGTAAAGGAAAACATGACTGACATGCTAACCTATGAAAACAACACAGTATGGCATGGCAGATGGAGCCATGGGCATGTCCACTGCTAATAAACTATATGCATTTATGAACAAAATTAGTACTGAAGGACATTCTTCAGAAGTATATATGTTAATCCACAGCTCATTCAAGATGACAAACTGGAATTTGTATCTGTATTCATGTTCTTTCCTATATTTTACTGCAATATGTACTAACAAAGTTGTTCCATAACTGAAGTGGAAGCCTGCATGTTTCAAGGGAAATTGAACATGACCATTTCATAAGTTCAAAGGTAAAAAGATACGGTTTCAATACTCACTAAACCAAAATGCATGCTTTACTAGAAAAAAATGAACAAAACCAAACTTAGGCCAATGAATCAATGCTGGTTTACAGACAGGTTACTCATATAACCAATCTGTAAACCCGCATGGTATTTTAGGCATGCTCCAAATTAACCAGGCCTATATACTTACCTAAAATCAATCAGAACCTTTCTTTTTGGCAATCCTGAGAAAAGTTCGCTCTTTATTCCATATTCAGAACCATCCTCAAATACCTGCTGCAACACTGCCTTAGGAAGCAAAATACACACAGCCACAATGAGAGTAATGAATGAGAGATCCTTTTAAGAGCATGTTAATACCTGTCACTGATATTTGCAAGCTCATGAATCTCCCACTTTACAAACATCTTCTGAGGCTTCACATCAGCTAAGCAGACATCTGCAAAGGCTTTCCAAATGGACAGATAGCAGGCAGCCAATGCTAGTTCATCTGTTTGAATTTTGATTACTTTTTTTGGCTGAACTGAGAACATTCTTATTTTCAATATGTCCATGCTCTATGCACAAAACATGGCATACATATTCATATAACTATATTTTTTAAACAGGTCAACAATTTAAGAATTATCAATATTATTCATGCAAAAAAATGATCCATTTTAAAAAAAAATCTGCTTTTGGGGGACTGCTATTCCTTCTGATGTGTTTATTTGTCAATTTTATTCTACTATTTTATATTTTTAAAATTACACAGTTCATTATTTCCATCTTGGGAAGATCATTTAAGGTAAAACTACGGGGTAGAAACTATAGGCTCTACACCGGTATCTATTATAGAAACCACTATCCTCAGATTTAGCATGTTTTTCAATTCTAATTCTATTCTACAATTCATAAGATATTAGCTCTTACCTTTGCCAATAAGTCTCGATTTATTGTGAAGTCTACTGTTCCTTTACCTGGGCTGATTTTGCTCACAACTCCATCACATTTTAGCTATAGTAGAAGTAAAGCACATAGACAAAAGAATATACCACAAATAAGTAGAATTCTCTTGTACACTGCATTATATAACTCCACATTTTCAAGCAGCAGCATCTGCAAGGAGGGCAATGGGATAGAACAGCTTTGCAATGTGAGTCCCACCGCTTTTCTATGTGCATTCTCACCCAGCACACATGTTCCAAAGGGACGGAGCTTGCGGCAAAATGCTGCTTTGTCATTCTGACAAAAGTAGCAAGAACTTGTGGACAATCTTGTTTTCAAGAATTAGGGTAACTGTAGCTGGATCATCCATGCAAACAGTTTTTAACTGTATTTCAAGAAAATTCAGAAAAACGATAGATTGCATTTTGCAATTGTTGAAAGGTAAGAATGGCAAGGAACTGAGCCCCAAAAGCCTTCATAATCTGTGGCTTGGGATCCCATTTTTTACTATATTTATGCAGTACAAAACACTTTATAAGCATTTTCTTACTGATGCTTCTAATTAATGGATCTTACTGGATACCTTGTTTGCCAGCTTCTCTGCTTGAAGATTAATATCTGATGCTGTGTAATCTGTAGAATTAGCATCTAACACAGAACTCACAAAGAACTGGAAGTCAGCAGCCTGCCTTAAAAAAAAAGAAAAAAAATTGTAAAGATTCAGACTCTTTTCATGATAGAGGGGACAGGATTGCTAAGATTTAGAATTAACACAGCTAGAAATATCTAGGGCAACTTCATCCTCAAAAGTTTTTGAAACAGAAAATGATCTGTGAAACTATTATGCTGGGTTAACAATATATGAGCTACACCTTGTAGCTCCTACTCTTCAACCATTAAACGCCATGAAATGGCATTTAGAGATGGGCTTGCCTTAGGATGCCTAATGGTAACAACCCTTATGGGAATGTGAGGAATTTGTAGCCTCCGAGATGTTGCTGAACTGCAAGGGATACTGGGAATTACAGTTCATCAATATCTATAGGTCACTGGGTTCTACTTCTGCCTTAGATGATGCTGGAAATAATCTGAATTAGAAACAGAGACTGAACGAATTGAACTATGTCAGGGCTTCAACTATAGTTTCTGGAACAAACATTATGGCCTGGCTTGTACATAATGCTAAACCATAATGGATGAGTAAATATGTTATGCTGAACCAAAAATAAACAAATTGCATTACAACTTAATATTATGTCTGAACCAGACTGTTATTTATGACCAGCACAGTGACTTGGACCTAAGGAAGTGTTAGCATAAAGGGTCCATGTGGTAGGTTGTTTTGAAAATTGTTATTTTCAGAACATTTATTATTTTATTATTTATAATTATTTATTATTAATTATTATTATTTATCTAACAGCTGGACCAAAAAGCTGGACCAAAAAGGGGAATATCTGGCCTATAGAACTAATGTGGAGTGTGAAGTTCTTTCAGGACTTGATATGACCCTCTCCATTCCCTTCCACCATGCCATGTTACTGCTCTCTTCCACCTTCTAGAGAAAGACAGAATGTTTGTATTTGCTCAGAACAAGCCTGAAAACTTTCTTCTACCTTTGTTCTGAAGAGAGGATGGACAAAAATTATATTCACAACTGCTGCTCATCATTTTTACAACTTGATCCAATGCATGTTCTTTATTAAAAAATAAAAACCTCACCAATAAGGCTTATCCCCAAGGCAGTACACATAGGATAGCTTCTTAAAAAACCAGATCCTAGGCAGACCTAAACCTATTGATTTGAACTCTGTATAATATTGTAGTAGTGGAGTACAACCCTAGGCATGTATATTTTCAACTAAATACTGACTTTAAAAGGATTTACTCTACTGTAAGCCTGCACTGAATTATAGCCTTAATTATCAGTTCCTAGGATGCCAGTGTTTGCATATCAATAGATCCAACATTTATTTCTGCTAGTTGTTTCCCAAACTATAAACTTCAAGGATTGCCTGGAATTTTATCTGTTATTTTGTATGTTATGACAAAAGGATCTGAAGAAATTAAATTATAAAGTATAAATACCCTACCTATTTTTTGACACTGGAACAGCACAGATTGATTTTACCAAGTTTTCTGGTGGGATCTTCAAAACATGTGAAAGCTATTTAAAATAAAATTGCCAAATTTAGTGTGAAAGAATAAATAGGCATCAATATCTTTGCCATCATGTTATCCTCTATTTCTTTTTTTTTTTAATAAAATTTTTTATTCTTTACAACAAACACAAAACATACATAAA